AGAGAGAGAGAGAGAGAGAGAGAGAGAGATGTTTATATGTGTTAGTGTTTTGAATAAATTAAATTCATATAAACTAATAAAATTAAAAAGAAAGAAGAGCCATTCATACCAAATATATAAAGCTTATAGAAAATGATACTAAGAGTCTACAATCGAGATTAAATCTCTTGAATCCCTACTCATTATTTTTTTTTTCAATTTCCAAAGAATTCATGTACGGTAATGTTAGTAAATATTTGCATATTAAGGTTTTAGTTTTTAAGTTTCATTTTATGTTTATTTAATTCCTATGTCTCATACATAATTATCATTTATCGCTCAAATTATATATTAAAGTATCTCCATACCTTACAAAATAAGGCGTCATAACGTGCCCTAACATGTTGTGAAGCACCATAATGCGTTAAAATTAGGGGTGAGCATAGGCGGGGTACCCGCCCTTTTTGACAGGAACCGGAACCGGAACCGGAACCGGAACCGGCGGTTCTTGAGATATTGGAACCGGAACCGGAACCATTCTCAATCGGTTCCGTATTTTAGGAACCGGAACCACTCATATCGGTTCCGGTTCTGGAACCGGCGGTTCCAAGGCGGTTCCGGTTCTATAGCCGGGTACCCGGTTCCGCTGCTCACCCCTAGTTACAATGTAAACCAAGCCTTAGAGTGGAGCCATGTTGGTTGACACGGCGGCAAACCCAAGTCTTGACGCCATAACACGCTATAACAAGTTATTTAGAACCATGACTAATAGTCAACACAAGGGTGTGCGAGTGACGTGGCCCGTAACCTCAGGTCGCGGCTAAAGTCACATAAATCACATGTGATTTTATACGTGATTTTAATGTAAAATTACACGTGATTTGACCGTTTTATTATTCTTTTATTTAATTATTGTTATCGTACGAACCTGACTTTCTCTATATATGTGTGTGTAAGAGCCCATGGTTTGAAAATATTTATGTAAGTATCTATATTTACCATATGTTTTGAATATATGTTTTTTTTTAAATAGAGTTTTTCCCTGTGAAAAAAGAGTTTTTTTAAAACTTAAATCCTAAATGAAAAAAAAACCCTACATCAAATTCGCGTTTGAGTTGTTAGATTTTCATCTATTCGTTCATCGGTCATTGCTTGTTGTTGCATAGCCATACAAACAAAATGTCGCTCGCGAGTGGAGCAAGTTCTGGGTTAACATAGTTGTTGGAGTACATAGAAGATGAAGACGACGGCCTGTTACTGTGACATCTCTTTCGGGATTAAGGTGTGAGGATGCCACCATTTCCTATATTGAGATAGTTGATTGACCTTGCTTAAGTTACATCTGTTGATCACATGTTTAAAGTAATAAAAAGAGGATTTGTAGAAATAAATAGATCAGAGTAATTTTGAAGTATATAATATTTATAAATGTCAAATTAAACTCACACACACTCTTCACCTTTGGAGATATTTGAACCCTTGACCTTTAAGAAGGTTGGGTTACTAGGTGTCGTTCGGCTAAAGTGTAACACCCTCTAGAAAGAGAGATTAATATAAAATTTTGATAAAACCTCAAATAATGAATTAATCCCTTTTTAAAGTACACATTTGGTTACCCACAATGGCAATCCAAGGTTTTCTTTAACAGCGAAACATAATATTCAAAAACCTTGCACAAGTCTATATATAGGGGCGGGTGTTATTAAAACTTAACAACAGTCGCTATCTCCAACATATGAAAGATGTCCTCGGATAACTATTTCCTTCTCGTGCATCTAACTAGCACTCAACTATTCGCGGTGTCACTAACCATTCCCCAACAAGGACCTGATGCATGTACCAACCGAAAAAAGTTGGTACCAAGTTTAGTTGGTACCATGTATAGTTGGTTGGTATATGGTATAACATTTTCGTATCAATTATAATTGGTTGGTACACGATATTTGGAAGGAAAAAAACATGGCACCATAGCATGTTCACCCCTAGCGTGGACCACTATTTCATGCCCCTTTTTTCATTTTTCTCATCCTTTTCGATCCCCAACTTTTTTGGTATGATAATTCTATAAAAACCTCGTTTCCTTACCATCTTAAATGCCAAACAGTGGCGAAAAAGATCAATAAAGGTTCTGAAATCACAGGTGTTACAATCATCCCAACCTTAAAAGAGATTTCGTCTTCGATGAAGGACCAAGATAGGCTTGAGTGGAAGTCCTCTTAGCGGATATGGAGGTGATGGTTAGGATAGACTGAGAGGGGTTTCCCTCAGTCATGACCACCTGGGAGAGAGAGAGAGAGTAGAAACAGAAGGTATTAGAGAAGTTTTCTAAACAATGTAAACATGTAACCTAAGTTATTTCTCATTGCGTTTTTAATGGTGACAAAATTGTTTCAAAATTCTACAGGATTATTCTCCATGACTGCTCTTTTTAATATCAAGATGGTTGCCCACAACGAGAGTGTCAAGAAAAATCTGCCATCACTTTCCTGGTGGTCAAAGAAGAAGCAATCAAACACTTACGGGGATGAGAATATAGGGTTTAGGGTTTAGAAACACGATACATATATATATATATATATATATACATATATATATCAATTTCTAGATATTTCTATTAGATAGAGATTTATAGAGAAAATGCTTCATTCATACAAAAAAAGTCGAGGTCTTGCTAAGAACTTTTAGCTCATTCTTAGGTCTGAATCAACAATAGACATGGTTCATGAAACGTTCAGGGGATGATCTTAACTTGGGTTCATATTCTAATTTTAGATTTATCAGTGATAGGAAAAATGTATATTTTTCATCAGTGTCTACTTCTTTTTATCATTTCAAATATGTTTAAGACACTTGTTTACCAATGCTTAACTATTGTTTATTACTTTTTTTAAATCTTTTTAAATATGTTCAGGGTACTGCACCAACTCTAGGGAATTTCTCTCCAACTTATGTTGCAATTGTGACTTCGTGTAAACCATATTGACCTTGGTTTATGTAACTCTGTTGCATTAGTAAATGTTATACCAAAAGGAAAACACTATTGACCTTGGACATTGAGGAATATCCAGAAAGGCATTTCGGGAATCGGTTTGATTCTATCTCTGAGCCTTCCATTTGAAGAATTATTGATCAGAAATCAGAAGTGAAGTTTCATTTAAAGTAAATCAGGTGAACTAAAACAGTACATTATAAAGGGGCATCCCAACTTTTATATTAAAGATGATTTTCAATCTACGAGCTTCCTTAACGATTGCTTTGCGGGATCATTCAACAACGTTCTTTGACTTAAGTAAGTCATGAATAATGTCCACTACTACAAGGACACATTGGTGGGTCAACCAACCAATGAACCTGCAATTTGTCCATGTTAAACATGGAGACGAAGAATTAAGTACAAAACAACATTTTCGTGAAACTAAAAACTCACACTTTTGAACAACAATAGAATCGACAACGTGGATTATAACATGTACATGATATTCAAATGATTACAATAGACCCATAGTTACATATCACTGTTGTTTCCCTCAAGAAGTTCAAGAATGGGTGTAGAGAGTGGAAGAATAAAGAAGAGACAGTGGAATAAGAGGTATACATCAATGCTACTTTTTTTTTATTAACCTGGATATACAACCCGCTATGCGAGCCGACTAATCCCAGGGTGACCACCTGCTTTGCAGATAGCCCGAAGTCACCGTATTTGAACCTCCATGACCACAAGGGGATTTTTGTTTCTCTTTGGATTTAAACCTGTGACCTCCTGGTAATGAGTAGGAAAGAAAAGGGAGGGGATAAGGAAAAATCTGCTCTCATGTATGGAGCACATGAGAGAGCTTAACGACCCAAAACGAGACGACGTTACATAGGACCTAAACCAATGAATTTTGCAAACATGAGAGACAAAAATGGAATAGATGAAGTTGAGGGACAAGTTCCATTAAAATGAAAAAGATTTAGGGATGAAACCAAAATACTTCTGATGGATGGAAGTTAACGATCGTTAGAAGAAGAGACCAAATCCAATACAAAATGGCAAACCATGATGGCAAAATTGGAATAAACGAAATACAGGGACGAAAACCAAAATAAATGATAAAACAGAGGGACCATAACTGTAATTTACTCCAAAAATATATTTTTTAAAAATTAGTTCCTGAATTTGCAGCTCGAAGCGCCGCATTCGATTTCACCTCCTTTTTGCTCTGATCATCAACTCTTCGGATTTTAACACCGTCCGGAAGATCAAATCTCATAAACTCGATTTGTATAAACCCTAATTTTTCCATAAGTCACTCTACTATTACTCGATCATCAAGAATTTCGGTGAAAACCCTAATTTTGATTGCTTACTGATTGGTAAAGTCATTCATCACTGTTCACAACGATTTATCTGAGAACCCTGGTATATGTATAGTGCTTATATGCAATTCGAGATATGAAGATTGATTATAAGAAAAGAAGATTCCGATGCTCCTGAACCAGCTCTTAGAATTATGAGCAAGGTAGAAAACTCTGGTGATGCCGTTGACCAGTATACGTTCTTGAAGACCAGTAAGTTCTCGTTTCCTAAATTCACATGTGATGGTAATCTTTGCTTTGGTGAATGTGATTTATGGTTTAATGGTCGTAGTATGTTACTCCCTCCCTTGGAACAATGAACAGAGATGGTATTTCACTTTTGAGGTCAAACAGACCCATTTTCTACTCTTGGAATTTGGAAACAGTATTGAAAATTTGATCTTTTAAAAGAAAATAAGACTGCAATTATGAAATTGCTGGTGTTCATTTATGACAAATGAATATCATGTTGCATGACCGATTGTAGTTGTAACTCTGTTGGGTATGTTTGACTTTGAAGTCAAGTGCTGGCATCGTTTATGGTTGCCTTATGTAGAGACTCTATTAGTGTTTCATTTTCCTAAAATATTTATTGGCATGAAATTCAAAACTTCTTGTTTCATAATCATTCTGTCTTGTAACCGGCTAAACAAGATAAATGTTGCTGATGTGGAAACTAAAACGTTTAACATAGAAAATAAAATGCATCAGAATGCAACGAAGTTTGTCTTAGGGGGTGTTCGGTTGTGGGTATTAGAAGGTAAGGAATGAAAATGATAACCGTTGATAATGTTTGGTTCAAACATGGGTGATTTTTTTCTCAATTAGTGTAACAAACTTCCAAATCTTTTTATTTTGTACTCATTTTAACCACTAACCAGTTAAACATGTTAAATGCTTTAGTATCGTAGAGGGGAGTGATCAAATGGAAAGCTTTGGAGATGTTGTTGAAGGGTTTTTAGTATTGAAGAGATAAGTGATCAAGAGCAAACTAAAGAAACAGAAACCCTAAAAAAGGAAGTAGGAGAGGAAGGCGGAATGGAGGAAGGGAAATAAAAAAATTAATTAAAAACCTTCATAATCAAATAATACAAATATATAATGTCGCCTAGTGGTCTTCTTAAAAAACAATTGCCAACTCAATAAAAAGCTGTGTCATGTAAGATTTTACTTTATTATTAGGTAAATTTTGTATAAAAGACCGAGGATTTGTATGTTTGTTACCCTAATTTAAAAACAAAATGATCGTTACATTAAGTAGGAACTAAAGAAAGTTTCGTTGCATTTTGATGATTTTGCCCCATCGAATAATACTAATTTATAATGCCATGTGGTAATTTTCTTAAAAGAACAATTGTCAACTCAACAAAAAGTTGGTGCCACATAAAATTTTACTTGATTATTAGGTGAATTAGTATTAAAATAGGATGATTTGAAAGTTTGTTTAACTAATTGAGGGAAAAAAATTATCGTCATACTAAACAGGATTGAAAGCAAACTTCGTTGTATTTTGATGCATTTTGCTCATCTTGCTCAAGCAAGGCAGTTCACCAATTGTGCTGAATGTGATCAAAACGGGAAAATCTGGTGTACTAATGCACCTTACCTGTGTAATGATTGAAAGAGAAGTGTATGTGTGGATCATTCAGGTCTATTTGGCAAAGAGGTTTATGTTGCTTGAATTTTGATCTCTCAGTAGTTGGACAGAAAGGGGTAACCTATCTGTTTCTAAGTTGATAATTTAATTAGAATTACAAAGAAGAAGGCCATAAATTGGCCTTAAAAGGGAGGTGGGCTATATTTCGATTGGTGTGAGTTGAGCCTAACTATTGTTTCAGTACTCAAAATTCACTTTAGATTTTAGTGGAAACTTTTCAAATTACCATAGCAGATTGACTAGTCTCATCCTGCCAATAACACTTCGTGCATATGTATATATTTACGTGTGTTTGTATGTGTTTGTAAGGGTGCCTTAGTTGTTGCATGAAACAAACTTATGGATCTCCTTCAAGAAACATAGAATATGAGTTCATTTGAAGCTTCGTTTGTTTATTTTGTTTGTAATTCTGCCTCTTGATCCAGAGCAGATGTGATTCTGACTGCCCTTTAGATTTACCTTTTGGTCAATGCCAAAATTTAGGCAAGGTATTTTTTTAGTGTTATTTTTTTAATTTATTTGTATAACAGCTTATCATAATAGAAACTTAAGGAGTCCCATAAGGGGTTCTTCATATAAATGAAAGCAACAAGGAACTAGTGAGTCCACTTATGTAAACATTGATGTATTTGCTACCAGATAGGAGTATACAAGGTCAAAATTTATCTTCAATTGATTCCAATTGCAATGTCCATGTTGACATTATACATAGGAATGCATAAGCTCAAATTGTAACAAATGTATGAATTACATCCCAATATGAGCAAAGATAGGGAGAAAATTCATTGGAGGTATGACATAGATTAGAAAACTTGTACTCACAAGTACGAACTAGAAGGAAGATAATTCTAGGATCCTAGTGTAATTCACATAGGAACAGTAAAGTTGCATAGAAAGGTTATGTGATTGGATTTTTTACACTTGAAATCTGCAATTAAAGTCCCAATAGGGGTTACAGTAACTTTTTCCCTATAAGTTGCTCATTATGGGTGGTCTGGATTTAGGGGAATGGATATCAGTTTTTTATATCATGTTGTATTAGAAGTTTAGAACTATGGTCAGACCAGATCTGCTTGACCAAACAACCATGGTTGTTAGTGTCAATCTGCTTGGCAAGCCGATCCCAGTTACTTGCAAGTTGCAATAGAGATAGTTTTCCTGCATTTTGGGATCACTTGTGGCAATTTTCTTACATTTATTTTTTCCTTTAACTGCCACTGTAAATATATTTTTTCTGTGGAGATTAATTACCGTCCATGTTTGGATATTGATACAATCAACATTGATTGCCTTGGTATCTCCCTAGTGGCAATGAAAAGTTTCTTCTGCATAATTATACCTGATTCAGATGATGTTACATTTACAGAACAACTCCCTCAATCCGATTCAGAAACACTCGAACCTAATACAATGCTGGATTCAGTTGATGTTGTTAGCGTTGCGGAAGAACTCACCCAATCTCATCCAGAACTTAGAACTGATTTATCTGAACCAGATGTTAATGCACCTCCTGAAGCAGAAGTTCTTGAAGCCACTGTATCAGCTTCACCTAGAAAGAGCAAATTAAATTCATCTGAACTTGTATGTTTTGATGATATATGTTCAAAATTCAGAAATCCCGAAATTTTGAAGCTTTCTAACATATACCGATTTGGCTGTAGGTTGAGGCAGTTAATGTGGATCCACATGAACCCAGAAGGTTGTATCAGATACCTTTGTCAACTTGTTCCAGTATTGCAGAAGATGATGGTAATTGCTGCATATTTTGTATAAGTGCCATACTGTTTACTCTTCTGGAACTTCAGAATTTATTGCAGTCCATATTTCAATTTCTATTACAGAACTTAATTTCTGCTTGATGAAATCTTGAAGAGTGTTGGTCTTGTGCCAAAATTTTGAAGTTCCTCTCTAATCATTCAGGAAGATTTTACATGACAGTCTTTCAATGGTGACAATCCTTTGGGTCCATATGTTATTGGTTAATTGGACCTTGTTATTCTCACTAAAATGTTGATTTTTTTTGTCAGGTGTCTTTTGTCAACTATCATCAGATCATTGCACCGGCGAGTTGGAAGTGGTGAGCACTGATGGTGTGTTTGCGTTGGTGTCTAGTATAGTTTGTTAACCTATCTCATTTGTTGTTTAATTATAAAGAGTAACGTACCAGAAATTGCAAGCATGCAGCAGGATTTTCAAGCACCTTCATCTCCATTTCTTCATTAGTCTATGTTAGTTTTTCTTGCCACTGCATAAATTATAAGACATTGGATTATTTATAGGCCATCCTAGTGTGTGAGCTGCTTAATGATATTGATACTATTTAAGACAAACTGTAATGAAAGGCATGTATCTTTTCTCATAGTTTTTCTTCCTTGGAGGCATCAATGGGTATGTACATAAGGTGACATGTGATTTTGTATATTTTTCGAGCTTCAAACATCCTTTTGTTCTGTAGTTGACATCAACTTAGGATTGCCATATACATAAGGTGACATGTCTTTGTCATCCATTATAATCAGCAGTTAAAGTCAATTTGGATGATGTTGTTCTAGTTAATTTGGATGATTGTAGTTATACTTCTAGGTGAAACTGTGAAAGAAAGAAACAAATATTCTAGAGTAATTAATTGTAACACCCTAGTCTTTATTTGATAAATCTCAATATTTCAGCCTTGAATGCAAATATTTATGAATAATTCAAATACTCCAGCTGTTTCATTTAGTGAAACATCTTAATTATAAGACTAAACAAGCTAGTGACGAGTTGTTAAGGCTAGAAGTGTGTTGGCAAGTCTAGTAAGCATGAGTAAACAATCTAGTGATGAGTTGTTAAGGCAAGAAGTGTGTTGGCAAGTCTAGTAAAGCATGATTAAGCAATCTAGTGATGAGTTGTTAAGGCTAGAAGTGTGTTGGCAAGTCTAGTAAGCATGAATAGAAATCTAGTGATGAGTTGTTTAGGCTAAAAATATATGAGTTGGCAAGACTATTGATTACAAGACAAGTCTAGGAAGCATGACAAGGAGTACTAGAAGCATGAGTTGTATAGATTCTCTTATCCTTAGAGATGAGTTGTCAAGATTCTCTTATCTTTATTGATGAGGTGTTAAACTCTAATAAGAGTACAAGCTTGAGAGCAAAAAGAACAAGTAGTTAATGCAATGAATTTATCTATAAATAGGGATTGAAGGGTCACTATTTGTGCATACCAAAAATAAGAAATCTCTCTCTCTCTCTATATATACATAATTAAGCTTGAAGAAAGGAATCAAAGGAAAAAGTAGGCAAATCAAGGTGAGTACTTATGTGATTATGAGATACATGCATGCTAGATATAAAGTATTTTGTGCATTATAAGTTATGTTGGCATGCTTGTTTTACATGAAAATATTGATACACATACATATTCAAGATATGCATGATGACATGTACTAATACAAGTATACACACAAGACATGAAAATCATTTACATGTTATCATATGTGTTACACAATGCATGAAATTTTTTACATGTTATGTATGACCATAATATCCAACGTGTGGGATATTACAAGAAGGGACATCTTGCAAACGGACCTTACAGGGCAGCCTTTTATGGACCCGGGGGTTAGCAAACCTCAAGACAAGTATGGTATACATGCATGTGACAAGTGAGATCTCAAAAGAATGTTTTATGCATGATAAAGAATAGTATTTTATGAATCGTTTATGCATGATAAAGAATAGTATTTTATGGATCGTTTATGCATGATAATAAAGAATATTTTTATACATGATCAAGAGCTTTAATGGATTAGCATTCACAAAATATCATGAAAATTTCTCATTCATGAAACCATAAATACTCACTAAGCTTATAGCTTATATATCTCATGTATGTATCTCTGGAAAGAAGTAAGGAAGATTTGCATAAAGTAGTATGGTTTTAGTCAATAAGCATGTTTTGTTGTAATACAAGCTATGTTTACGTTTTCGCTAAGTAATTTCTTCTTTGATGAAAATTCAAGATATGTTATAAATAAAGCTGAATTTCAAGTTCAGATTCAATGATGTAATAGTTTTATCATGTAAAGTAACAACACCCAATAAATAAGGACGTGGGGCTTTACGTTAATGGAGTTTCAAAGCATTCAGAAGTTACAGATTTTTCTCTGATTTATTAGATTCATGTTTATGCCTATCTTTGGTAATTTTATGTGGAAGGAGAGAGCGGAAGGAAAGAGGTTGCCTCTGCAAGAAAAAACCTTTTAGTAGGTAGTTTATGGTTAAATAATTTCGAAGGTGGCCCAAAAAATGAACTATATCGTAATCCATTCAAAACTTTTGTAACTGCATAAATGTGCTTGATGATAGGTTAGGAACTTCCGTTGAGAACCAATTTTAATTTTTGGTATGGATGCTGCATGGCCAATCTTTTGCATCGTTGTATTGTAGATCCATATAGGGTGAAAAATAACAAATAAGATGAAGTCTATAATGAGCATGTTGTGCCTGGAGTAAATCAAAGCAATGCTATTGTGATAGAAGACTCAAGTGAAGGAAATGGTCAAGAATATCAACTTGGTTTCCAATCACTCTTCCCTTGGGAGACACCAAAATTTATAACACTCATGGTGGTAATGAATGAGCAATAAGAGGATGCTAAATCTAGAACTAATCTAATAATGAAGTCATAGTACCATCAGGATTAAGCCACGCAGATCTCAATATTCTTCTAAATAAAATGACTGAAAGTAATCATCAAACCGCAATAGCACAAGGAGAGGTACATGCTCAACGTGTGTACATTATGCAATTGGAGAACGAGATAAGGCAAGCACAAAGGGACAATGAAAGCTCAACACGAATATTAGATCATACTCGGGCCCAATTTAACAGTACCCAAGAGGAATTAGCCCGAAGTCATCAAGAGATTTCTCGATCAACTAGCAAACTGTTGGGAGATCCTTATATGGAGGGTTATACAAGAAGAATGTCAAGGGGCTATTACCCTCATTAGTAATAGTGTAGTAATAATGTGAAGTCCTATGTTTAGCCTTATAGCACAGATATATGATCATGATATGTCGGGATAAAAAAAGGAAAATTTTCTTATTTCCTAAATTTTGTAGAAAATATCCCGAAATTGCATATGTTATATAATAATAAATAATAAGCGTTGTTGTATATTTATGTATTTATTTTTTCGTAGGATGACTACTCGAAAAATAACTAGAACCGTCGAAGGAAATAATACACCACCAAGACAAAGATTCAGAATAAATCCACAAGAATCTACCGGGGGAATTGATATAGCAACAAAAATTTCCCTAGGTATCCAGGAAAGTCTACCAAGTATAATAGCTCAAATTCAAATTGTTAGGAATCAGAACTCGGAACATGGGGGGTGGTAGAGAATCAGGCAAGGCAAGGCATGAACCAAATAATGGTCAAACTCATGAATGTGACTATAAAGCATTTACAAATGCTAGTCCATCCATGTTTGAAGGAAAAGACGGACCAATAGTTGTCATGAACTGGTTAGATAACATGGAAAGTTGTTTTCAAACATGTCAGTGTGCCTCCACTCAACAAGTAAGGTAACCAAGTTAAAATTGAATGCCCTTCATTGGTGGAAAACTATTCAATCTATGAAAGGTGTGGCAGAAGCAGCCGTAATGCCATGGGAGGAATTCAAGGATTTGGTCTATAAAAGATATTGCTCAGATACTCGAATGAAAATAATGGAGGAAGAATTTGTTAAGTTAGAACAGGGAAGGAAATCTGTAGAAGACTATATGGAAACTTTTATAGAAAAATCTCGATTCGCAACTTACCTAGTCGCTACAGAAGCTCGAAAGGTGAATCGTTTCCTACTTGGCCTGAGGAAAGATCTAGCAGATTTGTAAATATGTCACAACCAAAAACCTTCCAAGAAGTGGTAGAACTGGTAAATCTAGCTGAAAAGGATTGTTATGTACCAAACAATAACAAGATAGGCGAGAGAAGAAAATTTGAAAGGGGAACTTTGGCAATCAATTTAAGAAACCCAGGAATGAAGGCATAAGAACATATGATAAACCTGCTTGTCCTAAATGCAATAAGCATCACGCTCGAGAATGTATGATGGGCACAACTGTCTGCTACCGATGTGGTTAACCTGGTCACATGATAATTAATTGTCCTGGAAGGAGAAATTGTTACAATTGTGGGTCAACTGGACATCTTGCAAACAACTGCCCAGAACTCAAAAATGTGCAACCAAGGAGAGCAATATCAGGGATCACTGGAAGTAAAACTGGAAAAGCTAAACGAAGCTGAAGAAACAAAAGAAATACCCGACGTGGTGACAGGTACTTTTCTGATTAATAGACAGTCTGCTAAAGTATTATTCGACTCGGGAGCAAATAAGTCAATGGTGTCTACAAAATTCTACATGAATTTAAATTGTCCATCTGAGAATTTAGATCAAATAATTGAAATAAAAACAACAGATGGTAGAATCACACAGATTGATAAGATCTATGAAGATTGCTCAATGGATATAGATGGAAGTCATTTCATCATTAAGCTTTTACCAATGCTCATTAGTACATTTGATATTGTTGTGGGTATGGATTGGTTATCTGAAAACCAAGCCCATATAGTATGTGACAAGAAAATGGTGAAAATCAAGAATAAGGATGGTAAGGTATTAACCATCTACAGTAATCGTAAAAAGAATCCCTTGAACCTTATTTCGGTTTTAAAAGCAAGGAAATGTATTCATAAGGGATGTGAAACCTATTTGGCATATGTAATAGATGCTAAAAAGGAAAAGAAACCTGTAGAAAAGATACCAGTCGCATGTGATTATCTGGAAGTTTTTTCTGATGATTTACCCGGGTTACCCCCAGAGAGACAAGTCGAGTTCCATATTGATTTAGCACCAGGAGCAATACCCATAGCCCGAGCACCATACAGACTTGCACCATCTGAGATGCAAGAACTTATGAATCAGTTGCATGAATTGCTTGATAAAGGGTTTATTCGCCCAAGCTCGTCACCATGGGGAGCGCTGGTATTATTTGTTAAAAAAAAGATGGAACCATGAGAATGTGCA